TGCTATGGTGAAAAGTTTTATCCCTTCTTTCAACACAACATTTGATACATTTATTTCATGAAACATAGATATACTGGAAGTCTCCAACGTTATCGATTGAAGAGAAGATCGAATGTTTCACATCCTTGTACGTAGCTGTTTACGCCGCTTGTAAATCAATAAATATATACATGTTTTGTTACATTTTAATTTCTAGGAATTTTCTGCGAGTAGTTTTTCATAAACCTTGAACGGACTGAAGAAGTTCAAATAATATAACCTTGGGTTTAACTGAACTTCACCTTTTATTTCTGTCTTAATATTAGTGATAAGAACACAAACGTTATATCCTTCATTATTGTTATCTAGCCAAAAAAGATTTGACAAGGATAAAAATTTGTGAAACTGTTTATTCTCTGATTTCAGTAAACCAAATTTCATAATCATATTTCAATAACTTGAACCAGTAATATAGTGTTTTTATTATTATAAAGTGTTGACGGAAAAACAAGTGGAGCAGACAGAAAATTTGCTCATGAAACAGTGGTTAGTGTTGTTTTTTTTAATCCTACTAATATTTATAAAAATAGCTTCCTGTTGTCCTAATGCTATGAAGACATATTGGAATGGAATACATACTCAAAAATTTCCAAAAGATGAATGTAGTTTTCAAAATTTATATGAATAGTAACAAGTTTGTTATTATTTAGATATTGATATATGCAAGTTCAAAATATCATACATTCAAATCACATATCTTGCAACAGCATGAACAGCATGTAGTCCGTAGAATCAATGTCTCAGCATGAGAGGAACAGATGGTTACTTATCACACTTAATGCAGCCTTTAGACTCACATGTCCTGGGATGAGATGAGTAGATGGTAGTTAACCTCCTGGATATAGTCCATGAAATCACATGTCTCAGTATAGAACAACAGATGATAGCTGACCTCCTGGATATAGTCCATGAAATCACATGTCTCAGTATAGAACAACAGATGATAGCTGACCTTCTGGATAGAGTCCATGAAATCACATGTCTCAGTATAGAACAACAGATGATAGCTGACCTTCTGGATATAGTCCTTGAAATTACATGTCTCTGTATAGAATAATAGATGGTAGTTGACCCTCTGGATATAGTCCATAAAATCACATGTCTTGGTATAGAAAAACAGATGAAAGTTGACCTCCAGGGTGTAGTCTATGAAATAACGTCTCAGTATAGAATAACAGATAGTATCTGATCTTCTGGGTGTAGTCCACAGATTCACGTCTTAGCATGAAACTAACGTACCTAATGACCTTCTATTAAATACTTTTATGTTTAAACTTCGTCTCGAATTACTTTGATTATTAAAAGAAGAAAGTTATAAAAGAAAGTTGCCTTGGTTGGTAAGTAAACCTCGTTTTATCAAAATATGTAAAGTTGTCTTTTTTTTCAAATACCTGTGTCTCTTATCCTCAAATACTTTTCAACATGTGTTGCTATGCAATGAGAAGTTGAAGAGTAATATAAATATGTTTAGTCGCTCTTGTATATCAGCTTAGTTCAAGTTGTAGATCACAAAAGCTGTGAAAGGGAAATTAAGTTTAGCATTGGCCCATAAAAGCGTGGTATGCGCGATTCATGAATTTTTTAAAAAAACTATCAATATTTTTTAGATATAATTTTATAGAATACGTTATTCTAAGTGTTAACAAGGTTTCGAATTTTGTTGATATTTTCTTTCTAGCATGTGAACATTCATACTTTACGGCCGAATTCTCACATTTATAAAAATATGTGACTTCAATGTTAACATTACAAGACAAAACCTTCGGTTAAAAACTTACAGCTCGAACAGACTTTCCTAATTTTTGGTTTGTTGCTTAGCAGCAAAGGCTTATCGTAATAACCGAACTGGTATCATTATTGAAGCTGAAAGTTTCAAGCCACAAAAATTTTATAACCGAGGCATGTCAACGTTTTCAGTTTCTTTCAACTTCAACTTGATCTAGAAGCGCTCTAAATAATTTAAAAGACAGATTCGTAAAATTCGTACTGTTAATGTCTGCTTTATTGCAGATTTTTATTGAACAGTAATATTTCAAACCCCCTTTAAACCCTCGAAAGAGAAAATGGCTGTTAGGTGTTTCACATTACAATTTTTTTTAGTTATAAATATGATTATAGAGTATCATTATTGTGGCCTAGATTCCAATAAATAATTCAGGCCCAACTACTAATGAATAAATAATAGTAATCCACATCTCTTGTGCATAAATAGCAGACCTATAATTCCATATGAAGGATGATTTATTCTTGTTGAAACTACAGAACTTGCTGTAGTCATGAATAACCAACAAACAGGAGCTTTGTTCACAGAAACATACAACTAAAATAAATACTACTCATTAGTACAGTTCCTGAATTCATCTAAAGCTCTGTAGTACAGTGCTGCCATTTGACCAAAATTCTTATAGCACAGTACTGCCATCTAACCACAATTACCATAATCTGTTTGCATTCTAACTGTTTCAGTGTGGTGCTACCTAACCATATCTCGTGTAAAGCAGTGCTACTACCTAACCACTTCTCTTGTAGCACAATGGTTGCCATCTAACCACAAGGCGAGTGACACAATGATTCTACATATACATCACTCCTACAACGTGTAGCTACCACACATCGACAATTATTGTAATGTATTTTTGATACCTGTTGTCATCTAACACTTGTAGCACAGTGATTCCATCCAACAACACCTGGTGTAGTACAATCCTGCTACCTGTCCGTCCAACAACAGCTGATGTAGTACAATCCTGCCACCTGTCCGTCCAACAACAGCTGATGTAGTACAATCCTACCACCTGTCCGTCCAACAATAGCTGATGTTGTACAATCCAAAACTCCTTAAAACAGAAATGTCACATATCCACAACTTCTGTAGCACATTATCTTCATGTAACAAGAAGTTATAAAGTATAGTGCTGTCATTTAACTGCAACTCCTGTAATTTAGTACTGTTATATACTATGTCTCCTGTTACCTACATCTGTCTTTTAATAACACATTGCTACCATATATCTCATACCACTACAGTACAGTGCTGCTACACTACTTCTTGTTACGACCTAGTTTCCAATTTCCGAGAACTGTAATCTAACGAATAATACTATAATATACTTCTGTTGCATAAGCTCTCATTAGAAGCACAGTTCTATCACTTAACTACCACTATTAAAGCTCCCACATCGTCACTGCTGTTGAAACACACTGCTGCCAAATGCCAACGTTGTCGGAGCACAGTGGTGCCACATAGCCACTGCTGTTGTAGCACATAGTCATACCGATAAAATACACTACCTCTCAATAAGCAAATAGATTCAGAAAGAATGTTTTGTTGTTAAATCAACGAACACGAAACAAAATTAGCAATGTCTATACCTTCATTTTGTGACTCGAGCTGGGTGAGCAGGGGATGTCTTTACCTTCGTTCTGTGACTCGAGCTGGGTGAGCAGGGGATGTCTTTACCTTCAAGCCATCGTTTTGTGACTCAAGCTGGATTATTAGATGTCTTTATCTTGAAGCCATCGTTTTGTCACTTAAGCTGGATTATTAGATGTCTTTACCTTCAAGCCATCGTTTTGTGACTAAAAATGGATTATTAGATGTCTTTACCTCCAAGACATCGTTTCGAGACTCGAGCTGGATGAACAGGAGACCTCTCTTGTATGAGAACACTGCATTGTCGGGTAACCTGGTTATTGGCATAGACAGATACAAGGTCTTGGTCAAGACTTCTGATAGAGATAATATGACCATCACCACACATACCACCAGCTATGATCGTCCAGTATTTTTTCTTTCTTTTATTTTTGCTTCCAGGTGGCACAATCAAAGTTCCTGAGAGGATAATCACTGTTCGAGAATTGTGTGAATCTGAACTCGTCGAAAAAAATCAAAGACATAATGTAGTGATAGCATTCTTGATGCTTATTGTTGTCTAGCTACTCTGCTAATACAGCCTCTGCTATGAGGATAACTCATGGAGGTCATTCCTCACACTTTTAACAGCACGAATAGTCCGTTTTGTTGGTTTTGGTCGCCCAAGTGGTGTAGAAACTGTTGTTTTCCAACGTGACGGGAACTGCAAACCCCTATTCACTGTTAACAGTGGTATTTCAAGTAACTGGTAACTTCTCGGTGACTTTCACTGCCCTTCCATCCTCCATTATGCGACTTCCTGAAAGTACGGTTAATTCCTGGGGTTCTTCCGTTTGTTATATGGCTGCTTATAATCTGTGGTATTTAATGAGTTATTTATACCTGTATTTATAAGTCGGAATTAGTTGTATATTACATTATAGAATTCTTCGATTTGTATTCTGAGAGGTGTCTATTTACTTATTGGTAAGTTGGACATAGTGCTGTCAAATATCTACTACTGTTAAAGTACAGTGTTGTGAAAATTATAACCTCTACCATCGAATAACTGTGTTCTTACTTTAAAAAATCACAGTAAAAATTCCAAACTTGTGAAATATTCTTATACCAAAACAATTTACTTTTTAATCTATGAGCTTAGAGTCATACAAAATTATTATTATTCAAATTAATTTAGTATTTTTTCTAGCCCAAATCTACACAATATATTAGCTGTACTCTGACCATCGAAATAATTCAAAGCCAAGATTTTGCGCTGTAAGTCCGTAATCTTATCGCTAACCTAGTTGTGGGTACTATTTTAGTAGTTATGAATATTTACGATGAAACAACGACGAAACCTAAAAAGTCTCGATATGGCATTATGATAGTCATCATCTACAGAATATTTACATTTAAAAGTTTGACTCGTAAACAAGAGAAATCTAGCTCATAGAATTATTGATCTGCTTTTCTTTCTAAATCAAACATTCGAGTTCAATGTCAAAAGGAGGCTTTAAACATTTTAACTGGAATAACAAAAAAATATGCTCATATATTTCTCGCAAAGTTAGCTAATAAGAGTTATAAGACAAAGTTGACTCTGGAACATGCTGTCCAAAAGAGACATTTATTTCTTTACATAACGTTTCGGAACACAGAAACTTCTTCCAGAAACATGACATGCAATACATATTTTTCTTTTTCAAACTGTACTTACAAACATTCTATTTAATCACAACACAAACAAAAACGTGGCCGGGGTAGTGAGCGAGGGATAATGGGTGGCAGAAGGTTTCTTGTGAGGAATTTTCGGGCTCAAATCGGCTTTCTGTCAGTCATGGCTGAAAAATATAGTGTTTTTTATTTCTTTCCTTTTCAGTTAATAGAAATTGTCTCTCAAAATACCCTTAACCTTTAAGCACCGTAAACATCTTAGACTATGGTACTCCGGAAGTCCTCAGTTGCTTCAGTTACCACGTGTTTCCGATTGGCTTCTATTTCGTTCCTAGCACGCGACTTTAACCTTCAGTACTCCTAACGTTTCCCACATAATGGGCGGAGTAATTATGTTACACCACATCTTCTCATTTTGATGGGTTCTACTGGACATCCAGATCATGCGACGTTATCCTCGACCTCCAGATCGACAATGATGCCTATCCGTCGTCCACAGTTTCTCACTTTGTGAATGACTTCCTCTTGCATCAAGTTAAAACACATGGCAATCAAAGCCATCCCTACTAATAAGTACAATGAACATATAACCAGTTTCTCTTGTGCATGCGCGCTACCATCTTCAAGCCCCCTGGCGTCTCCAGGAACTAGATCCCCAAAACCAATAGTGCTGAGCGTGACGAAACAGAAGTATGAACCGTCTAAAAATCCCCAGCCCTCCCACATGGAAAAAAGTGCCGCTCCTCCTAAGATGTACCCCACAAGAATCAACAAACATAATGTGACAGGCACTGCCACACGTTCGCTGGAAAATTCTAAGCCTTCTCTGAATTCTTCAGGAATTGTTTCAATCCTAACTTCTTCCTCAGGGGACACGTGAAGTTTATCCTGGACACCAGGTTCTACAGCATTTGGCGTGTTGGGTGAATTGTGTGCCACTATATGGTGGACACGATAATTTTCGATGTTTCTTCGCCGTCGGTACGGGTCGCTGGGCTTACAGGTACAGAGACGACCATAGACATACCGAAAGGCCTTGGCCATGAGATCTCCGATGTTTGTCAGATAGAGCAGCATTAGCGGAATCCCAAGGATGGCATAGACTATAGTGACAAGTTTACCCCAGTTCGTTTTGGGAGCAATATTCCCGTACCCTAGAAATACAAAACAAAAATAAATCAGTTATCCGTTCACTGACTTATCGTAAAACGATTCAGTAATAAAATCAAACAGTCGTAATTGAAACAGCACACCTACGTCTTAGCAAACTGCACATTCAACCTTAGTCACAATGGAACTTTAATTCATGCATTTCAAGTTGACATTGCACTAAATGATATTTTAATGAAACTTTAGCTCATGCATTTAAAGTTGATATTACATTAAATCATGTTTTAATGAAACTTTAGTTCATTCACTTCAAGTTGATATTACACTTAACCCTTCAACTGCAGTTGACATCATATGACGTTAGCGTAGGCGTCTGCGGCTGACATCATATGATGCAAACATTTTGCGCGCAAAATTTTGAATGGCCCCGCTACAAAATTTCACGAATTTTTTTCGCATGCGGTGGTAGGCAGATTTACACAAGCTGGAAACGAAGGGTTAATGATATTTTAATGGGACTTTAGTTCATGCATTTCAAGTTGATATTACATTAAATGATATTTTAATGGCCTCGCACGACAAATATTTATCGAATATTGTTACAAAACCTTAATTTTCTAACAGCTGAAGAATTCATTATTGTTGCCTTTGCGACTAATTTCAAATGATGTTTAATTAGATTTGTTCTAAAATTCAGCAACACTACCACAATGCTAGTTACACTTTAGATTAGTTAATGTTAGATAAATACATAACAGTTCCAGTTACAATTTTCGATCAGTTTATGTACCATGTTATAACTACATAACAATTCCATTTACAACTCAGATCAGTTTATGTACCATGTTATAACTACATAACAATTCCATTTACAAATCAGATCAGTTTATGTACCATGTTATAACTACATAACAATTCCATTTACAACTCAGATCAGTTTATGTACCATGTTATAACTACATAACAATTCCATTTACAACTCAGATCAGTTTATGTACCATGTTATAACTACATAACACTTCAGTTACGACTCAGATCAGTTAAAGAATGGTGATAGGACTACACGACAGTCTCAGTGATGTAGCCAGGCGATACTGATGATGCAGCAGCTCAGCGATGTAGATGATTCTGTATAACGATTTTTACAATGCAGCTTTCACAGTAAATAGATCACGTACATTTTTAGCTGCATTCTGCGTTTTTCAATCGATGTTCGGAATGTTATCGGTTTTTACACAATAGCTGTTGTATATCGTCCACTGAAGTTGTATATCAGTAACATATTTTGTATAGGCTAACAGCTGTGGAAAATTTTACACACTACTAGCGGTTTTTTCGCGCAAGTAATGAAGTAACATTTGAAAAATGTGAATAATTCCACCCTCCAACCTACCATGTGTGACGCTGCTAACTATCTATTTAAAACAAATAATTCCAACTCTTTTTATATGACATAATGTATTTTGTCACGTGGGGATTAAAAAGTTCCAACAGATAATACAACCCTTCCCTGATATCATCAACCTGTCACGTGACGTGTTTAGCTACAAGAAGCCTCGGACAGTACTTTGGCACTGAGAATATTGCGATGAGTTGCCAGTTATTAAATATTAAGTGTCGTTTCTTACGTCTTCTGTTTTTGTTGTTGCTTTTTATTGCAAGTTCTGCAGTTCTTCAGTTAAACTTCCTTCAATTCATTGTTTTAAAAAACTAAACCACAGTATGAAAATAAAGTTTTTCTTACTGAGCTGTGTCTTGATACTAAGAAGGTAAATAAAAGAAGAGGGAATCCTCAATAGCCGCGGCACGTGAAATTACTTTAGGCCGGATTAGAGTAAATTAATCTATGAGACCTTTTTTGTTTCTTTTGAATAGCTATATCTTTGTGCGCCAGCAATACCAAACGTGGGGTTAGCGCGTATACCCAATTCGATTATATTACTCATGAGAATCTCTACCAGCCTACCCTCAAACTGAGAATCTTTTAGGCAGAACTAGAGAAAATTAATCTATGAGACCTTAAGCTTGGTGAAATATATCAATCGAAAAGGTTTGACCTTCTAAGTCCAAAATTGTAATTATATCTTAAATCGATCACAAGATGACGGAGCTATGAACTAAAAGTTTGTAATTGAAAAACTCAGAGCCGTTCTATGAACCGCTATGCCGCGGCTAAAAAAAAAACAAAAAAACATGAAGTCTACGAGATTGAATAAAATTATATATAACTTCTGCTCGTAGCATTTGGGATATTTACTTTTTTAAGTATGATATGGCAAGGTGGTTAGGGCGCTCGACTCGCAATCTGAGAGTCGTGGTTTCGGATCCTAGTCCCACCAAACGTGTTCGCCATTTCATCCGTGGGGGCGTTATAATGTGATGGTCCATTTCACTATTTATTGGTAAAAGAGTAGTCCAAGAATTGGCGGTGGGTGGTGTTGAGTAGCTTCCTTCACCCTAGTCTATCACAGCTCAATTAGGGAAGACTAGCACGGATAGTCCTCGTGTAGCTTTGCACGAAATTCAAAATAAACTAAACTACTTTTTAGGCATCTTTTTTGTGAAGAAGGATTCGCTCTTGTAAAATATTTCATCTGAGTTCTTGCAACGTTATAAATAGAAAAAGCTTGAAAAATAAACATTGTTGCCTGCTATACATGAGATATGATAATATATTAATAGTCCGAGTTTTGTAATTAGGTCTATGGGATAAATATTGTAGCTTGTCATAAATGAGTTGGGATAATATAGTATAGTAATCTGTAGTAATAAATCTGTCTATATGTTGAATGTTGTTGCTTGTTAAACCTGAGTTGGGATATTATAGTATAGTAATAGTACAGTCTATAATAAATCTGCCTATATAATGAATGTTGTTGCTTGCTATACATGAATTATAATAATATAGGAACAGTACAAACTACTACAACCTGTGTCTGTATAATATATACTGTTGTTTGTCATAGTAATAGTACAAGTTATTATAATCTACTATATAAAGCAAAGTGTGTATCGGGAGAAAAAATCACGGTCGTATATCTATCATTCCATATTTATTCTTCATACGTTTCCACATTTATTGATCAATCAGCACAACTTGACACTGATACAGGATGACATGAGGAAGGTCATGAGGGGGAGGGGGCTGGACCTTCATCTAATTTCATATTGATATAATTCTTGGAAACAGTATGTATTTCTTTTCACTGTTGGTACCTTTATGTATGTTAATTGCACTTTTAATGTTTATTATGCTAAGAAAAAAAAATAGAAGTACAATTTCCTCCCCTTTGTTACAAACGAGTTTTCTTAGTTAGTTGTGTCTATATGATAAATATTGTTGCTTGCTATACATGAATCATGACAATAAAGAAATAGTACAAACTACTATAACTGGTTCTATATAATAAATATTGTTGCGTGCCATATATGAATTATCAGGCAGGTGGTAGCACTGTCTATGTAGGGATTGTTTGGATCGTTCATCGAAATGGTATTTTAAATATCTCCTCATCAGGGAAATCTTTGTAAATATCATAGTAACAAGTTTGAATTTATTTTTATTCTTTCTTTTGTTGTTTTTTTTATTACACGATAACTCAAAAACCCAAACAATGGTATCAACCAAATTCACTAAAGTGACATAGTTTCAAACGGAGTTTCTACTTTTATAAGAATTATTATTAACTAGTGGTAATTATAAAAATCATAATTCTAGTGTAAACGATGTTATCATTACTCCCTTGAAGTTAGCTTTTTTACACAAATTTTGTGTTAATTTAAAAGCCTTAAATACAGGGTAAAACAGGAATTACCAGCAAATAATAGATAAATAATATATATTACAATTGGAACCTCATTTGTATTTCGAACTTGGTTACAAATACATCCTTCCCGTGTCTATTGAAACACTGCATTAAAAAACAACATCAAGCCAAGAAAAACATTCAAAAAAGGGAAGTAAATGTAGGGATGGCTAGTATCAGTCCTTCAAAAACAATACAGACAAGATAGTTGGATGACATTTACATCATCACTACATAATAGCACAGGCAAGAAATAACGTACAGCAATATATCAGTCACAATTGTGTTTAATTTATCCTATTTTTGTCTGTTGACATTCTACTACACTGTATGCTTGTGCTATTATGTAGTGATGATGCAAATGTAATCCACTATCTTGTTTGCATTGTTTTTGAAGGATGGATATCAACCATCCCTACTTTTATTTTTTTACTTGTGATGATATACAAATAGTACAAACTACTATAATTTTGTCCATATAATAAATATTTTTGATTCTCATACATGAGTTATTATGATATAGTGATAGTGCAAGCTATTATAATTTTGTCTATGTGATAAATATTGTTGTTTGTCATATATGAGTTATGATAATATCATAATAATACAAGCTATAATAATTGTAGTCTATATATATATATATATATATATATCAACTTTGGGAGGCGCAGTTCATCGAACCTCAGATCTTAACAAAACTGGTTTCCTAAAGAGCTTTATTTTGTGAATTCATAATTGCCTTTTGTTTTAAAATTTGTTGAAAGTATTGCAAAGCATTAATGAAATTCATGTGCAACAAATTAATTAATTGACTATACTAACAAGATCACCTATTTTTTTGTTTTTTCTAATGGTATTTATCATAAAAAGGATAAATAAATTATAAATTCTTGGTGATTGAAAAGTATCCACAATTATTCGACATCAAGAAAAGGCCTGATTCTCAGTGATCGATCTTGCGCAAAGGCGCCGACGGCTGTACTCGTGGCTCATACTAACAGAGTGTCAGTATCCTCAGCGATCAGTTTCACTCCTGACTAAACGAAACCTGTCAGTGGACCAGGATCAGTTTCATGTTCACGAATCTGACGTCCAAACACGGAACGTCAATTTGTGTTCTTGAATACGCGCGTTTTTACAAGTGTTGTAAAAATAAAATGTTAACATTCACGTGATTTTGTTTTACTGACTTTTTTGATAAGATAACGTAAAGATTGCTTTCAATTAAATTCCGAAGAACGATAGATGGAGAGACAGATAGATAGATAGTTAGCTTGAAAGGAAGGAGAGGTATGATTATTAAGATGGATACAGAATACTGAACATATAACAAGAGAAATAAAGAAAAAACTTTATTTTTTGTGTTAATATTATAATAGCTGTATTAAATATAATAAAAAAAACAGTAACAACATTCAGGGTAACTAAATGCTATAAACAAGGCCTATTTATATCATATTAACTTTCTCACACAGACATAGGTATATCTATAAAGTTAACAAACCTTTCTTCTTTTTACTTTTCATATATAGGAATTGTTCTTATAGATTCTTTTTCTTACACTTTTTAAAAAACCAAATGTACGAAAACTGCTCTAAATATATGACGTAAGGGACTTTTCTTTCGAGACTACATAAGGCCCTCTCATGCTTACAAATAACATAAAATACTACCCGAAAAAAGAGCGATTAGCCATATGTGCATTGGTAGGGGACAAAGTGCCCATTGCATGACATTTTAGAGAGTCCCATTCAACATGGTATCATGTCATCGATGTCAAAGTTGTCAACTATTCATTTTACTCTACATTTGCTGATTTAGCGATACTTCATGATAGAGGAGAGTAAATAGCTAGATACAGTGTACATGGATACCAAGAAAAATATAGATATGCATTAAGGAGGTTCCAGAGGTTATGCAAATACAATATGCAGGCTGTACAGTGGAAAAAAATATTTTTATTCTTCCCATAAACATCGCCTTACAGTATGACTTGTCAGAATCTGACTCAGACTAGCTTCGTAACACATGTGATGTTTTGTGTAGAACAGGCTTGTACATTTTATTACAAGCTTGCAACATTTGGTATAGATACACGTAATAAATTCGGAATTATTGTAAACATTCCCTCTCCAATACGTGATCGGTCCAATGGACCGATCCAGAGCACATTCGGTAAGTTGAACATCAAACATCAATAATTTGTTATAGCTACGCCAGTTAATATATATGCGTGTGTTTCTTCTTTACTGTAATAAAACATAGTCTGAGATAGATATGTTTCACTATATATATATTTGTTCTAAAATATAGATTATAGTTATACATGATATGGGCATTTATATATTTATGTGCGCTTTTTAAAAAAGCTAGAATACAGTGATTTTCTTCAAAGCTTGAATTTATTGTAATCATAAGAGAAAAAAAAATTACTGTTCTTTAACAAACGAGTGAGTGAATAATGAAGGTAAACATCAAACCTTGTTCCAAACCTGCTTTTATTTGGTCAAGGAGTTTTATAGTTACAGACATTGGAGATCGTGACTGTGCCTTAGTTACTACGAAGCCTAAGAGTAAGAACATGCAGAACAGTTGAGACACTGGCTGTTTTTCTAGTGAGTAATGGGCATCCTCGGTTCGTGAAAGAACGGCTGAAACCAGTAAACTCAAGGAAACTCCAAAGCTGAAATTAGATTTATAGAAGATTACACGTATATGTGTTATTAGACCTCAACCTTTTCTCCCCCAAAAATAAAAATTA